GTAATCTAATTACCGTTTTTGCAATAGTAATCCCTTACTTTACTCGTTACTTGAAAAAAGTAATCGGATTACAGTAACGTGTTACTGCCCATCTCTGTTCTTGAGCGGTAATGGTGGTAAGGACGAAGCATATAAGCTTGTATTTATTATTATAACTGCAGAATCCTACTATGAGCCTGTAGTTTAACAACAGTGGACTATAGTTGGAACTAAAAGTTGTTTTCATTGTTTTATCCTCTGATTATCTTTTGTTCACAGGGATGATGTTAGTGGATGTTTTGCCCCAGCAGCACAGAGAGTTGTTTGTTTTGTTTTTGCTGTCAAATGACAGGAAACAGCACAAATGTATCATCATGAACTCAGTTATTAGGCGGGCAAACGGCTGAATGAAACTCCACTGAGGAGCTTAAATGTGATTTAAATCATGAAATGTTGGGAAAACACTTTTCATTACAAAACGTGCACTATTAAGTTTCAGACTGCATTAGGATTATTGAATTATTTTTCATTTCTCTGTAGACGTGTTGCATGCTGCTGTGAACCTGAGTCCTCTTCCATCCAGTTTCACTCGCAGCTGTGGAAGTTTCAGGCTGACACACTTTACAGAGCAAACAGAGCTGAGAGGCTTTCAGGGTTGATTTGACCTGCTTGCTCAGGTCGTTTTCTGCCTGCTTTAGCAGCGACTCCCCAGAGACGAGCGCAGCGGCAGCCTGCAGCCTGATTGATGACCTGATGCTGCCGTCTGAGTCAGTGATGGCGAACGATTAGGAGAGATGTATTCAATAAAACATATTTTATTCAAGTAGCAATACAAACTATATAACACTAATAAAATAAATCCATTCACAGTTTAATGGAGTTAAAATGCAGTTTTTCTGAGCATTATGGAAATCTCCAAACAGTTCACGCAGCTCTGGATGAGACAATGAACTTCAAAGTGAAAGGTTTTCACTGTTTTCACTCGATTACTGATGAAGTTAATGCAGTGCTGGTCTTGTTGGACATGACCGCTGCATTTGACACTGTGGATCACGATTTGCTGATCTCCCGCTTGCAGCACTGTGTGGGAATTTCTGGTTCGGCACTTTTGTGGTTAAAGTCCTATCTCTTAAATAGGACCTTTTGTGTTAAGTTGGAATCGGCTTCATCCTCTGTGGCCCCTCTGCTTTGGGGTGTGCCACAGGGATCTATTCTTGGGCCATTATTGTTTTCATTGTACCTTTTGCCTCTTTTCCGAAAGCATAAAGTGCCATTCCATCTATACGCAGATGACTGCCAGCTCTACTCACCTTTTAGTCATTCTGATAGTCTCCCAACTGGACCTCTGCTTGACTGCCTTACTGATGTCAAAGCATGGATGGCAAAAAACTTTTTAAATTTTAATGATCAGAAGACAGAAGCAATTTCATTTGGCCCAAATCGTTCTTCTCATACTTCGGATGTTGATCTTGCAGCTTTGACTTCCCAACTAAAGAGTTCGATCACAAATCTCGGAGTTAAAATTGATTCTGCACTTACCTTTGATGACCATGTAAACGGGGTGGTAAAATCAGCATTTTATCACCTCAGACGTTTATTAAAGGTTAAGCCCTTTCTTTCCAAGCGTGACTTGGAAAGTGTTATTCACGCCTTTATTACCTCTCGTTTAGATCATTGTAGTTCTCTTTTAGTAGGGGTTGGGCAGGGCACTTTGTCACGCTTGCAATTAGTGCAAAATGCTGCGGCACGATTTTTAACTGGCAGAAGAAAATTGGATCACATCACTCCGATTTTGGCCTCTTTACACTGGCTTCCAATTGAATTCAGGATCAGTTTTAAAGTCCTTTTATTGGTTTTTAAATCTCTAAATGGTCTGACACCTGTTTATTTGTCTGACTTGTTGAAGCCCCACGTCCCCACTTGTTCCCTTCGGTCAGCTGAGCAGTTGCTGCTCTCGGTGCCAAAGTCACGGCTGAAACTTAGAGGAGACCGAGCGTTCTCTGTTGCAGCGCCGATGCTTTGGAATAACCTTCCTCTCCATATTAGACAGGCTACATCAGTGCCAGTTTTTAAGTCTTTATTAAAAACCTATTTTTATTCCCTGGCTTTTAACTCTGTGGGTAACTGATATATTTTTTTTTTTTAAATTTTATTGCTATGTCTGGTTTTATTACTATGTGCATATTAGTATTGTACAGCACTTTGGTCTACCAGGTGTGTTTTTAAAGTGCTATATAAATAAATAAATGATGATGATGAAGTTAAAGACACATCAAATGTTTTCAGTTAATGTGTTATTGCTCACTCACACGGTTTATGTTAACTCAGCTTTCTTGATGATATCTTGCAGGATCTGCATTATTTTTTCCTTGCAAAACTTTAATAGGAGACGTTTGAAGCTCATTTCGCAGACGTCTGTGTTGTTGTTGTCATTCCAGTTGAAGGATGTGTGAATTATGGTGCGTTATAATTAAAGGCAGTGAAATTAAAAAACACTTGTGGCTGGTGAGAGCTGATGCTGGGTAAAGGTGCGTTTGATTGAACAGCCTCTCTCCTCCGTCTGCGTCAGATGTGAGGAACGGTTCAGCTGTCTTCTGGGAGGAGGGGGTCAGCGGCGGGTACCAGGCCCTGCTGTTAGACGAGGATAAAGGCTGGCTGCTGGTCGGAGGGAAAGACCACATCTACCTGCTGAAGTCTGACAGCTTGGATCAGCCCTCGCAGAAGGTAAAGACACAAAGATTCATCGTTGCTGTATCTTACATGTTCACCAACAGCCTGCACATGCTGATCTGGAGAGATTTCACTTTAATCGCTTCCTCTGGCACAGAAAGCAGCCACAGCTCTGGAGCCCAAGTGATTATGTGATCTGGCAGAAAGTCAGTTGGTAACATTCGTAGTCGTTCGAGCTGTTTTGTTGCCGGCGTTGCTGATTGATGCTCGTTTCTTTCAGATCTACTGGCCGGCTGCCAGAGAGCATGTGGAGCACTGCAGGCTGGCTGGCAAAAGCCTGGAGGTAACACACTGAACCACACTGTAAACCTAAATACTAAACAATAAGCATATTTTAGTATGTGCACAGTTTGTGTGCATTTAGTTTTATTACACAAACAAACTCTAATCTGTACAATAAATATCAGTTACTCTGGAGGTTTTTTTATCAGTGTTACAACGAGTAACACAACAAGTGAAGAATTACATTAGACGTGATCATGTTTTTGTCTTTTTGCAGACTGAATGTGCCAACTTTGTGCGGCTGCTGCAGCCTTTCAATAAGACTCACGTTTATGCTTGTGGTACCGGCGCTTTCCATCCACAGTGCACTTACCTGCACCTCGGACACAACACAGAGGTACCAGTTCATTCAGTCATTCATTTAGTTCAAATAGATATGAAGTCACAAAGCCAAAGTGGAGCAGAGGGCAAGACTTTAAAAATCTGATATTTCTGCCGGTGGGTTTTATATGTGAAAGAGTAAATCTCCTCTGTCGCTTAACAAAGTACAAAGTTTTTATTTAACCCGCTGATTATTTCCAAACATAGAAACTGTGAAGTCAAATCCAGACGTTTTCAGTTCCACAGTTAGATGTTCGGCTCTGCCAGATCCAGGAAAGCCAGAGGATCCAGTTCTCTGCTTGAAAAACAAAGCTAGCACTGCCATGTTGTTAATGTGCTGACTGGAAACATACTGGTGTCACTGCTATGATACACCTGGCGGAGCAACAGCCAGTCAGGGTCTCACTCCTACCTCGTCACTAAGGACACATTTAAACTGTGTGGATCATTTTTTTAGCTTGCATGTTGTAAATGAGCTTATTTTACCCCAAACCACGAGGTAACCATAACCAGTGTTTTTGTGGTGTCTGAACTAAAGTGACAGAAAGAAGGAAGAGAAAACCAAAACATGAACCTCAGTGTTTTGGCTCATGCTACAGCCCTCTGAGGCTGGAACAAGTGGTTCCTATTAAACTGAAGAAATACTTAGTGCATTGTACTGTAGTGACTTGTTGACAGTCTGCATAGTCACAGAAAATTGGCAGACATGTGCCTCATGTACTCCAGTCCCCCCAAGTGGAC